CCAGAGGCCAAGCGGCCAACTAATAAGCAGCTCCAGCTCCAGCTCCAGCTCCGTACCCAGCTCTGGCTCCCAACTACCCAAGTGGGTAGGGTAGGGGCTAGGCCAGTGAATGCTGCAAGCCTAAATCATAAACAGCCGGCTCGATGGCTGCTTTATGAAATGGAAAATGCGCCACAAATGAAAAACAACACAATATAAAATATGCCAAAAGGGGTGGGGGCGGTGTGAAAAAAGCGCAATATATCTAAGGGGAGCGGGCTGGGAGTGGGAAACGCTGCGCTGCCCATGGCTAAATGTTCAAAATCTCTGTTAAATCGACATTTAAATAGAGGAAAACAGGTAGAACCAATTTTTATCAGCTCAAGGAAAAGGAAATTAAAACGCAAACTTGAATTACCCATTAACATATTGTATTCATTTTAATATGTTATGAGGCATATAAAGAAACAGCGTCATATAAAGTTACATATAAAGTAACTATGGTTGGTTTTTCCTTTAAGATATACTTTGGCATTCGTCTTAATATTGTTTTATAAAATATAGATCATATTTCTATAACATTAAAACTATAATTATTATGGGGCGTGAAATATAATTAATATTCATATTAATTGAGAGAAATTCGTACTTTTCTTATGCTTAAAGAGGTTAATTCTTAAATATTTAAATAATATTTATTTATTAAGAGCACAATACAAAGCTTTAAGGGAATGAACCGAAGTTCCATGAAAACTTAGAGCTTGACTAATGACTAACTTGTTATTCATGCAAACCTATTGTACATTAAGTTTTTTGTAATTACTTTTTTTTATTAATTTTAGTTTCATTGCCTTTTTTTTGTAGGACTGGGTAAGCTTTCAGATATGACATTTACGACCGTTGATAATTTTGGGAATTTCTGAATAGTATCCCCTTGTTAGACATTCATTTTAACTACAAATCTGCTTGTTAGACAACTAATACTTGATTTTTTAAATATATCTCTAAATAACTTGGCTAATTACAAACCAGAATAGAATTAATGACAATCGCAGTAGCTAAACTCCCAGCCTAGCCCGGGCACAATCAGCATATGTACTCGTCTAACCCAAAGATAGGCTAAGTTGAGCTCAGTTTAATGATGTTTAAAAGCCTCGAATGGGTTTTTCCTTTGCACAGTTGGGAAAACAGACTTTATGTATATGTAAGTATGCATATATGACTGCGTTGTTAACTTTTATTGGCGAGCTTTAAAGCAAATTTGTCTTGGCCGTTGCCATAGCTGCTGATGTTGCTGTGGTTGTTGTAGTTGTTGTTGTTGTTGTTGCCTTGGCCTCATCATCTTCCATTGTTGCCGCAGCTTTTGTTGCTGCTGATGCTGATGCTGCAGTAAGGCAAAGATTTATGACGCCGCGTACACGGCGCATTCAAAAATTGTTAAAAACAATTAGAATATTTTAGCAACGAACGACGGCGACTATAAAAGTTATGCGATGCGGGTTACAGGCAAAGTGGCCAGAGGAGGCAGGGTCGGGGCCAATGGGCCTCAGACAGCTGTAAAAATTATGCGCCAAATGACTTTGACAGCAGTCGCGTTGGTCGGCAAAATTTTGCTGTCTTCACTCGGTTCCAGGGATCGTTGTTGTGCGTGCGTGTGTGTGTTTGCCTTTTGGGTTGCCTTTTTTATGGTCATAACTAAGTACTTATACGACTTATAATTTGGAATGTTTACGATCGTTGAGCTTGTGTATACGGCCAAACGCTGAGCAACAGTCGGCGGGCTTCTCTCTGGCAAATATCTAAAATCTAGCATCTATGCAAGTGTATAATAATTAAGAAAATATATATGTTTGACTAACTCAAAACTCTAAACATAAAAATTTGAATAAGTATTCACAATTGTCGCTTGCAAAATTTGATTGAAGAAATTGATATTTTGTTTCAAATTGTAGAATTCCAAAATTAGAAAAGTAAAATGAGATTTGTTTATCAATGGATTCTCATTGTTTCAATTCATATTAATATAATCAATGAGCAAACTTTTTGGCTATCCAACTTAACTTATTTTTTTGTCAAAATAGCATCTGATCTTTAATAATTTTTGCTAGCGGAAGATAAGAATGCGTTTTTTTCCCGACGTATCACGCATGCCCTGGCCATATCGCATTTCCATCGCGTTCTTAACTTCCTTCGAGAAAACGCCAGTTTATTTGCAATGATCTACGAGAAGTAGCGGTAAAGACTAATTTATGGACAATTTTCATAAGCTTTTGGGCACTTCGAGCACAGATTTGGCTTAGTTGATAGGTCTTAAAAAGTTGCCAGAAACTTTCGCTAGCTCGTAAATGGCTTCCCAGCAGCTAGTTGACCACTTGACTAGCTTCAATCATTAATTTCTCTCTCCGTCCCTCTCTCTTGCTCTCTCTCTGGCTCTCTGTCAGACTTGCAGATCTATCTGCATGTTCACAACTGTGCGAAGCATCGTTTAAGTCCATAACTTAGCACTTATCAACGATTCAGATACTAGCCAAACAACTTGTAGATACTTATCCGCAGCTTAAGCACATCTGCTACCTTAGCAACCACACGGCGGGTCTCTGCTGAATGTTTCCCATTCGGTTCATTGGCCAACAAGATGCATGCAACAAATGCCTCGCCAGCAGCGGCAGCGGAGCGACGGCGACGGCAGTCGACATCGATTTTGGTTCATGCCTCGGCTACTTTATATCATTTTAATAATGTTGCTACGAGGTATGTGTACGTACGGGTCTGCAGCTATCCCCAGTCGAGGCTTGGCAGCAACAACAACAACAACAACAAAAGTTGAAATAGTTTGCACTCAATTTCAATATTTTACACACCAAGAGCCAAAAAAAAAAAAAAATAGAATAAAATATGCAAAATAATAAAAGAAATATCAGAATTTCGTGCAGCTGGCTGGTGGCAGCAGAGTTGGCAAGACTTCGTCTCTAGGTTGGCCAGCATAAGCACAATATATCTCATAGATACATATGTTTTATATATTGCTTATTATGTATTACCACGTGTTTGTGTCTGGTCCCCTCCGGGACTCGGAAAGTCGGAGTTGCCGCAGCCTTCGAGATTTGCTCGCTCGCATGGTAACTAATATGAATAACTAATAAATCACATTCGGTCGGTGATTTATGTGACAGGTGCGTATTGCGATTTCAAATTGGCAATAGTTTCAGTCTCGACTTCCATTTAGAGTACGCAAATTGGACATCTACCTATGACGCTGACCCAGCACTTACAATCCATTTGATTTGCCATGCTAATCTTTGTTTTTTTTTTTTGTTACTTATGTAAATTAGCTTTAAAACTTGTCAAATTAGTGTGGCAAGCAAAAAGGTGTCGTTTTTGTTGGCTTTTTGGAGTGGCTAAACTTTTGAACCTTTTATAAACAATTTAATTTAAAAAATAAAATACCGGGCTGAAATATGCATTTTTCATGGCACGTTAAAGTTAACAAAGGATTTAAAACATCTAAAATATTATTTATAAATTAAAGAGCTTTATTGGTGTTAAAAGTTTTGCTTTTTAATGCAGAATATCTTAGATTTTTATTTTCATTCATTTTGGTTAAAAATTTAAAATTTTTGTCAATTTATATCCGTCAAAATTAAAGCGTAAGCCTTACAAAATATTTTGTAGTGAAAGATTGTCTCAAATATTTATTAGGCATCTAAAGTATAGACATGTTTAATTTATGTCTCAAATATAAGGGCAAATCTGAAAAATAATTTGCAATAATTCTAAAATTTAATATTAATTCTTTACAAACTGCCGTCAAACTGCTGAAAATATTTATTCAGCATCTAAATTATAAGTAATTATTTAATTTGTACTAGGGATCTAAAAAAATGCTTCTGTAATCTTTAAGTGTACTCGACTTTGAATATGTGAAATGTATGTTTAACACTCGGCATCTAAATGTAAGCACATCTTCGGCTGAGTATCTAAGTATCTCTTGAAGATAAATGTACTCAGACATATTAAGAGAAGTCTGTTGCTAGCTGAAAACCTGCGTTTCGTGTTAATTTGGGCTAAGAGTTTGTCAAATTAGTATTGAAGGAGGACGTGATGGACGCGTCTCGCTTGCCCTTGGCATAACCCCAATCCCAACTAATGCGCTCAATTACGGATTTCTTTGGAAACTTTGTTAATTTGTTGACTACAACAATGGACACAGTTCTCGGGCTCCGTTTTGTTCTGTCTGTGACTGTCCCCCCACTGACCACACCGTACGGCTACACCCCCGCAGCGTTATTAGCCTGCATCAGACAAACACACACACACACACACACACACACACCCATACACGCACGCACGCATGCACATACAAAGGTATTATCTGGCATCTCTTGGTGCTCAGAGCACACATAAGAGAACGAGTCCAGACGGTGCTCATTATGTAACCTCTCATAATTCTTTCATTAATGAAATTCCCACACGACGACATTTGTTGGACGTTTCCACACATTATGTAAATCTTTACACAGCACGCAGTCCACCCATTTTCCATTTTTATCTGCGGTTCTTCTTCTTGTTGTTGCTGTTGATGTTGTTGTAATTCCTTTCCTGTGCCTTCATTTCCATCCTTGTCAACTAATTTCAGGGTTGCGCTCGTTGCGCTGTCATGTTTTTAAAGCCTGTTTTAATTTTTTTTTCTGCTCTCAACGGGAGAGGGAGAAAGAAAAATACAAAACTCTGGCTTTTACTTTTCGCTTGCTCTTTGCACAGCGTGCTTCTTAAATGTTGCCCAAAAACAAAGAAAAAGCAAGAGAGAGAGAGACAGAGAGAGAGAGTGAGAAAAAAATACACGACAACAACAAAAACTACCTGTTTCAAAACCCACACACACTGCTGCTCAACACTGGCCGAGGCAGCAGGGACTGTCGAGCGACAACAACAACAACAACGACCACGTTGCTCGTCTGTTTGACTCGCCTGGCCTGCCTTTTGAGCCTGGCTGGTGTGCCTTTCTGGCTGCTTTTAAATACCCTTTACCTTGGCCATATTAATGCGGCTCCCACTGTTACTTATGCATTGTTGTTGTTGTTGTTGTTGCTGTTGTTGTAGCTGCTGTTGCTGTTGTACTTCACATGTAGTTTGGTTGTCATTTGGCAGCGCCCGCTGTTTAGTGTCCAACATGAGGGCCGTTGGTGTCAGGCGCTGCTGTTGCTGTTTCTGCTGCTGCTGCTGCTGCTGCTGCTGCATTGGGGCACCTCACTGAGCGGAGTTGGAATGAAGAGGGGCGGGGAAGGGGGCAGGTGTAGGTATCAGAGCAGCATGTTGTAGCTGGAGCTGATGCTGTTATATCTGCCTCTGTGTCTGTGTGTGTGTGCTGGTATTGGTATTTCGCTCTGATGTTGTTGGTAGCCCCAGCGACAGTTGTTGAAATTAAATGCTCACATGTGGGTTTTGTTTTCTTGCTTGCAACAAAAAATAAAAAAATAAATAAGGAGCAACAACAGCAGCAGCATAAACGATAGCTGAATGAAAGGAACGTAAGCGAAGAGTACATGAACAACAAAAAAGGCTTCCAAAATAGCACAGTAGCAACAGCAACAAAAGCAACAATAATAACAACGACAGCAAAAAAAACAATAGCAACATCGTCTAGGATGGGCAAACATATAAAAAGATGCTTTTGTGTTGTGCATTGCAATAAAGTTGTGTATACCAAATTTATTGATTGAGAGGGCCGTTTAATAATATCAATTTGTATGCTTTTAAATTACAATTAATGAAATTCAAAAATAATTAAATAAATATTTAGGTTAAGTTAGGTAAATATAAAAAGAAATTAAATAATTAAATATTACCATAACAATTAAGATGTATTATCAAATTTAAAGAAAAGTATGTATTTATACATTAAACTCACTATTAAAAACAACAACATTTTAAGAAGAAACAAGTTCTTATGGCACATATGCAAGATGAAAAATTAAAAAAGAAAAGGTAGAACAGAAAAGTTAGATTATAAAATTTTTAATGGCTTTTTTTTTTAACAACTTGGGAAGTGTTTTAGTCGCTAACTCTAACCTTAAAAAATAATTTATTTACTTTGTGTCCAATATATTTCGTTTCTCCCCGATAATCGTCATCAGGGTTATAAAAACAAAACATTTTAAAGAAACAATATGACAGGGATTTGTGATCTATTCGAATTTCCACGAACATTATATATTTAAGGTATAATTTTCAGGTAAAGCTCTCAGTTGAACCAAAGAAACTATAATGATAAAAATGGTCGATACCAATAAAAATCTGTTCATTGCATATAGCGAATATAAACATATTTTTAAATTAGGCAGTTAACTTTGCTGGGAAAGTAGTGAAAACTCTCATTCGCGGACAGCGACCGTCGGGTAATTTTGGTCCTCTTACGAGGAGTGTCCGCCTAGTAGAGAGGGAATGGGTATGGCCTGATTCATAACTGTTTAAGAACACTCTCAAGGACTGCTCCAAGTGGAGTGTCTAAAGGAGTGTCCGTTGAGAGAGTGTTCACTGTGTAATATTAATATTATTATATTTTGTATGAGCTGCATAAACGAGTTGAGAATTACAAAAATATTTCACATTTGATTGCTTGTATTTCAAAGAAGTTGCTCTTTAATATTTATTTAGTTTTCTTCCCATGGAATTAATATATATGGGATTGTTCACTGAATTTTAACTATATCCCGAAATGCTGTCGGGGAGAGAAGTGTGTAATTGGATACAATTTTGGACAGCCCTCGCATTTATTAATGCCTTTTGCTTTCGCCTCCTTTGCGACTGCAAATCAAAATCAACTTTTTATGCTGAAGATGGTATGTTGCTCTCCACTCAACAACAACAACAACACCAACAAGAAGAAGAAGAGCAATAACATGGACAAGAACAGCAGTCAGCAGCAGTTGGAGGCACTTCATTTGCCCGCTGGATACACTCGACTCGACTCTACTCGACTCGATTCAATTCGATTCAACTGAACAGAACAGAACAGAACAGAACTCAACTTAACAGAACTCTTGGAGTTTGGGGGCTTTGGCTGCATTTATGGTTGCATTTACTTTTTAATTTCGCTGAAGCTGTTGTTGTTTCTGTTGTTGTGTTGCACTCCTTTTTCGAGTTTCAAGTGGAGTCAATTTCTTATGTCATGACAAGACATACAACGAATACAAATACGAAAACGAATACGAATACGAATACAAATACTTGTGTACAATGTAGCTCCAAAGCCCAAAGTCAAACAGCTCCAAGTATCTCAGGCTATCAAAGAAAGAAAGAAAAAGAATGCCAGACTGGCAGCAGTATTGGTACGATTTTGGTTTTTGGGATCTTTATACCATATTATACATCGATTTCGGCTTTTGTTTGCAGCATCTGTCGCCTGTAGAATTTCTGTGTACATGTCTGTGTGTGTGCTTAAATATGTCTTTACTTATTTTTGGACATACTTGATTGAAGTATTTATGAGATTTCAGGCATTTGTGTAATTTCGCTTTGAGCTTTAAGTTTTCGGGCCAGAAAAATGTAAAAAGAGTTAAATTTAAATGTAGACAACAACACACAGCAGGCAAAGAGACACAAATAAAGATATATATTTATATATATATATATATATATATATATATATGTTTATATATGTTTAGTATGTATATTTACATATGCCTGGGTCCCAGCCATGTTTGTCAGATGAAAAGATATGTCTTTACATGTTTTAATTTTCTTGGAAATTGTTGTTCAACTTGAGCCGTCGCCAGCAACCACCAAAGCCCAAATCTGTGTATGCGTTGTTGTTGTCTGGGAGCCTTGTCTACTACAAGACTTCTCCTCAGACATACAAGCAAACACTTACATATTTTTCATTGCTTCGTGTGCTGTTTTTAAGTGAAATGTTAAACCTTTTGACAGCGGTAGTTTCTTATTTAATTTATTTTATTTGCGGTATTTACTCGTCGCTTCGCTTCTTGCGGCTTCTCTTGACGCTCTTGGAATTCAATTTTTGGCCTTTTTGTTTTAGTTGTCTGCGTATCTTAATGTCATACAATTGACATGGTTAGGAAGCATCTCTTCCACAACTTCTACTACCAACATCAACTTGCTTTTCTCACTGCCTACCAAAGACTGCGACAGTTCGCCTTTGGTTTTTGTGGCCCATAATTAAAGTTGACAAAGTAAGTCCAGAGCTGGCGAGCATTTAAAATGGAACTGTTTGGCATTTTAAGTGTCTCGAAAAAAAAAAAAAAAAAAGCTAAAAAAAAATTTAAGATAAGTTGGGAAAAAATCATTAGTGTGAATTCAAAACTCAAATGAAAAAAAATATAAAAAGACGTAATAAATAAATGATATTACAAAATACATAAATGAATTAAATAAAAATTATTATTAAAATTAAATACAATTATTTATAAGTATATATATATATATTTTTACCCAGTATACATTAAAAATTCTATGTAGGCATGTCTAGTTTTTAATGCTTGTAGCAGGCAGCAGAAGGTTAGTTCGAACCCTTGATTTTGTTGTTAAAATAAATTCCTTCCTTGTTTATTGGTTTTTCTATCTTGTTTGTATCGCATTTTTAGTCATTTTAGTATTATTTCTTGTTCTTTATGAGGCTATTTCTTAATTTCTCGAATTCCTTCTGCCTCCTCTCAGAGTTTTCTGATAAAATTATTTCTGTCAAAAATATTGCTTATTTTTGCCCAGATTTTATATGATGAATGCTCGCTAATTTATTAGAGTCTGTCTCTCGGTTTGCCTTACCAATTAAGTATATTGGTTGTGATACTTATGGGAAACTTTAACCTCGCAAAATCATTCAACAAAGCCAAACCCATTCCTGCCCCAACCGCTGCTGCCCCTGCCTCGACATACATTCACATCTTTCGCTTGTGTCGCGCTCTAACCATTTATCTTGTCTCAAGTTTTTCAACTATTTAAACTTTAGATTACGACAATTTCTCCATTTCTCGTAACTCAAAACGCTGGGGATTCACCATTTTCAACGAGGGCAACAACAACAAGAGCACTAAACAGACAGTCATCTAGAAAATTACAAATACTTTTGCTATATGGCACCAGTTCTTGTTCTTCTTGTTGTTGCTTTTTTGGGTATGCCATAGAATTCCAATCAATGCTGCCTGCTTCTGCAGTAGTTTCTACTGCTTTTACTGTTGCTTCTTCTTCTATTTGTGTACACTGTCGAGCGTCATTTCTCAAGCTCAAAACGACGAAACGGGCGCAACTTTGGATTATTAATTACATCAGCAGCAGCAATAGCAGGCGAAAAGATTGTTGAGATTTATATGTGGCCCAAGTGAATCGAATTCGAATACCGTGAATATACCCCAAGCACACCCACAAAAAGAAATAAAGTAATGAAATACAAGAAATAACAGTTAAGCTTGCGCTGCCGACATCTAAATACCCTTATGTAGTTAAATAGATCTGTCAGCTATATTTTGTAGTTATCCCAATTCAGAGATTTCTGTAAAGAGAGAGAGAGAGAGAAATCTGTGCAAAGTTTCATAAAGCTATAATGAGAGCTCAATTCGTTTAGGCTAGCATATTTAATAGGGATAGTCAAGCCAGTTCCAACTTGTTTGCTAAGAGCTGAGTCCCAACCAGGGCTACAAACCCAGAGAAAATGGTTGGTGTTTTGCTTAACGATTCGAACCAACTGCTTGGCTTCTTGTCTCCCTCAATTTTCTTGGCTTTTAGTAAATTTTTGAAGAAAACATAATCAGTTCGGAAAACGTTTAGATTGCTCTCTGGACACATATTTGCGGTACATAGATTCGAACCGGTTCGTTTGGAAACCAGTTTGCAGCTTTGTATTTCTAGATCCAGATCTGTATATGGCTTTATAAAAAAGTCGCTTGCTGTTGCTGGCCAAGAATATATTTAATTTATGATAGCTGCTGGAATGCGTTACGCATTTTGTGTCATAATCGGAATACTCGCTGTAAGGGCATGAAAAGAAAAAGGTAACACGTATATCCTGGTGCCGCATGCTCCATCTCTGTCTCCAGTCTAGGTGTGTGTGTGTGTGTGTGACAATTTTGACTTTTATAAATATTTTGACTTGGTTTCATTTCTTTTTTTTTTTTTGTGTGTGGTGTTGCTGGATGCTGCTGGCTGCCAGCCTGCCCGTCGGCGTATCTGTGACAAAACATCATTCAACGTGTGCAATGATTGATGATGCAACTCAATGGCAACTT